TAACTGTTATTTCAATATATACTTAGAGCCCCCATCTGGGAAATGCTTAAGGACTGAAGGACCCTATCAATGTCCTGCTCTATTTTCTATCTTCCCACCTTTGACATACCTTAGCCAAATAGAGACCTACATTACCCAAGCTTCTGAGCAGATATACTTGTTACATTACCCTGAAAAGACGTTGGGTTTGAGGTTTGGTTTTGGAGGGGTTTGGTTTGTTGTTTTTTTAATTAGCTCAAACTATATGACTTCAGGGGAGTCAGTGAAGCCATAATTCCTTCATAACTTTTAGTTAACTGTAATACATTTTTGTGTTCTACAGTGTTATTCTTTCATCAGCTCTAGTCCAATTTAAAGAAAAGAAAATTGCTCATTACTTACATCTTTAATACTGTATACACTTCTAAAATTTTGTGATCTTGTCTAAGAACCTCAGGATAAGAAATACCATCCTGGAAAACTAAATATTCAGCAACTCCTGCAAGATGGAACATCCTGGAAACAGGTGAAAATAGAGTGTATAGAAAGACTATATGGTCCCCTACTAAGTCATGACTCCTCTGACAACCTATGTCTTCTGGCTCAAATATGCATGAGGAGATATTTGAAGAGAGAATAGCACATTAGTAATGTATATTATGCCTCTTTCAGTCAAGAAATATTAAATAAAGGATTATACAAAGAATCATATATTTTTAACTACTAAAACCTCTGATAACTAATTTAGCACATTAAGTCCATGTTTTTCATTTCATTTAGTTTGACAGCTGACTAACCACTATCAGATATCTTCTTCATCATCAATACATGCAGTTGGAAGAGTTAAAGGTAATCAATATGCAGGGTTTGGATTTTTTAAATAGCATTACTGAGAAGTCGTGCTTCCATATGAATTTCCTTTTTAACTTCTCTTTATGATGTAATAAAATAAGCTCACAGTCTTTTTCTGCACTTTCACTACTGATCCATTGACTTGCTTTTCTCCCTCCCTCTACAGAAGTCTGCATAGCAAAAGGGAAAAATCACTTAGACATTGGAAAACAGCTGCCACAAGAAAGCTGATTTTCATTTAATTTTGATAGGCAAGTCTGTGTGGGTAACCAAAATATTTTCACACAGCTAGCTATTAATGGAATGTCAGGCCTTAAGTATGTTTGTGATAGACTGGGTGTTAGAGGAATTATATGAACACAACATCCCCTCCTTTCTATGTCAGCAGTCTTTTCACCCTGTGCTGGAGATTTATTGAAGAAGAACATAAAAGCAGCCCAATAAGGTTATAAAACCTGTGGAGCCACAGGTGTGGATGCAATAATAAACTAAATTGTGAGTCTGTTAAACTTCTACCATTGCAGTGATCTATTTCTTTAAAAATTATCTAACCTCATATTTCACTAGTATGACTATAGTAATAATTAAAAAAAAAATCAATTATCAATACTTAAATAAATTGCCATATTTCTCTGCTTTTGAACACATTAATAGAGTATTTGCCTTTGTAACATTTAAACTGTTTTTAAATCACAGTTTAATTGTTTTATCATGCAGTTCACAAGCAGTATCATAACACTAGAACTAAGAAAATAACATGCAGTGTATTTCATTAGTTTTCTATTTGCAATTTTTTGCCAATAGAACAAATAGTTTATTATTTTTAATTTTATGTTATTTTCTAAAGTGAATAATTTCTGTACTGCAGGCTGTTCATGACCTGTGAATACTCACAACTTGCAGTAGGTGGAAATTCTCTCTAATCTGGTAGTAATATCAGTTAATATCTTTTTCTGAATGGATCATACCATTTCATCAGTTTAGTCATATAGCAAACCAAACAAATCCAACTTTCAAGAGTCTTACCAGTATATAGACGGAATGAAAGTGAAAAATAAATCTTAGAATTATAAACAAAGTCAAAAATATACAGTTAAGACTGCAGAAGGAGAATGAACCAGAAGACAAGTAACTGAATTAGTAATAAAAGAGTAGAAGTAAGTGAAGTCAATGGCTAGAGGCAAGTTTGCTGTTATAGGATGTACTTGTCATTGAGATGTAGAAATGGCCTGACACAAACCCCATAAACTTCAACTAAGTTCAACAAGTACAAAGTCCTGATTCTGGGATGGAACGACCCTATGTACCAGCACTGGCTGGGGGCTGACAAGCTAGTAGAGGTGTCTAATTGCTGCCTTCAGCTACCTAAGGGATGACTGCAGAAGAGATGAAGCCAGACTCTTCTCAGAATTGCATAGTGAAAGCCCAAGAAGCAATAAACACAAATTGCAGCAACTGAAATTCCAATAAAATATAAGGAAAAAAATCACTATGCAGGTAGTCAATTCTGAAACGGGTTTTTTTTCCACTTTGAGGTATTGAGACCTTGCCTGGACATGGCCCCAGACAGCCTGACCTAATTTCAGTTAGCCCTGGCTTGAGCAGTACCATGACCTTGTTGCCAGCTAGAATTGTTCAGCAAATGTGTTCATTTTTGGAGTCGCAACTTCAACTGGAGGCTACCCATGCTAAGTTATGTCCTTGGCCAAACTGTAATCAATGTGTATGAGTGTGTGTACGACTCCACTATCACATGCAAGTGCTAGAGAAAGAACTAAACTAAAAAAAACTTGTAAATGTCCACAACTTACACTTCTCTGGATAATTACTTCACCATTAGGGCGTAAATTCAGAATTCAAACTGCAGGAACATCTTTGGGTAATACCGTTGTATCTTTTACTAGAGATATATGATGTCAATGGTACAAATAGTTAAATTATGCAAAATATGACAGAAGAATCCAAAATACATCTGTGCAAAACTCCTCAGATTTGTAATAGAAAATGTCCTATTAGGGATAAGACAGGCATAAACTAGTATTGTTTCATTCAGCATGGATGATTGCAGTGATATAGCCTTGGCTGGCTTCCAGATTTCCGCCCCACCCCTTCCTCACTTTCCCCTACTCAACAGGATAGGAGAGAAAACAGCAAAGGAAAGCTCATGGGTCAAGATAAAGACAGGGATGTCACTTAGCAGTTATCACCAAAGGCAAAACAGACTGCTTGGGGAAAAATAATCTAATTTATTGCCATCCCCAAGAGGTGCAAAGGAATGGCAGCTGGGAGGATTGTGGTCAGTCCATAACAGGTCCACTCTGCCACGCTTTCCACCTCACATTCTGCCCCTGATCCACTGTGGATCTTTCCCACGGGTTGCAGTCCTTCAGGATAAGCCTGCTTCAGCCAGGGCTCTCCACAGGCTGCATTTCCTTCACAAATATCCACCTGCTCCAAGGTGAGGTCCTCCATGACTGCAGTGTGGATAACTGCACCATCATGGTCTTTCTATGGGCTGCAGGGAAACATCTGCTCCAGTGGTAACTCCAGGGGCTGCCAGGGATCCTTGCTGGGGTGCATGTATCCCCTCCCCCCTCCTGCCCCTCTCCCCTCAGTGCTCACAGTGTGTTTCTCACACTTTACCCCTCACATCCTGGCAGGGTGCCTGTGGTGGGTCCATTGGATCTGTCTGGAACCAGCTGTGTCTGACATGGGGCAAACCTGGCCACTCCTCACAGAGGAGTTTGAAATTAATCTGCTCTTATATGCTCATCAGCGTGTATATATATGGAAATACAGATTTATATTCATATATATGTGTCATACACAATGAATAGAAAAGCAATTCTTACTCTAATTCATCTAACATCATGACTCAAAGATTGCATCCATTTGCAAGATATAGACTGAGTTTACTCTTTCTCTGCAAGGGCAGTATGATTAAGCTGCCCTGAATTTTGCTTTAAAAATTTTATTTTAAAAACTTTGGGTTTAAGTAAATAGCTTTTTATTGATCATAATGGGAAATATTACTGAATTTCTTTCATTGTGTTATGATAACACACTAATTTGAATAGTCTACTCTCAGGCCAAAATTTTGATTGTGTTTTAGAGTGCTTTAAATCTGATCAGTTGTGTAGAAGATGCTTTCAAACATCCCAGCTCTCAAAGACCGGCCAAAGAACGTGTATGTCATCCTAGAATCTTCTTTTGATCTTTTTTAATTTCTTCACAATTTTTACTATCTCAATTTCTGTCAATTTACAGGTAGCTAGAACCTCTCTTGTCCAAAGATTGTGAATGTGGCTGGTTTGCTTAGAAACTCCAGCTCTGAAAGGAGAACTGAGGAATGCCATACCAAAAATCTGGATTTAGGATCCCTAAACCTAAGTCATGAACAGTAGCTCACGGGATATGAAACATAAAATCAGTATGATTTTACTCTTCTGGAGCTGATATACTCAAAAATTTTGACAGATTAAATTTGTAACTGAAAGTTTTAGACTGGATAGTACATTGTTTGTTTAATTTACTCTTCCTTTATTAAGGATGCAGCACTGGCCATCCACAATGCTTTAACTTTATCAAAGGCTTGCATCTCATGGTACATTTATGCCTGGCAAGAAAATGTAAAAGAAGCATATATTTCATAATGTCTTCTTCGGTTAGTTCTCCAGATATGTGGTCAAAGAACCATGCCTTATGCAGATCAGATTTTTACTGCTGAATTACTGTTCAGTGCTCAGCACAGTACTAAACAACTTATTTGCCAGCCTTTCCTATATAAAACCAATTACTTTTAAAGAATTTTTTCAAGCAGAATGATGAAATATACGACTTTCCCTGTTGTCCTCATAACTGCACTTGTGAAGAATTAGCAAAAACCTGTACAAAAAGAAAATCTGACACTGGTATTTTATATGAATTTTCAGTTAAAAATATCAAATTACAAGAAATAGTGCAAATCCAGTGACCAATCTTACATTTCCGTGATTTTGCTTATTCTTTATTCTGTTCTTAAGTGATTTCTTCATATTTGCATATCTTGTGCATGAATATGACTTCAGGAATGTTGTAAAAACCTGTGTCAGTGACGTTTTATGGTGTAATTAATTTACAACCATCTCCTATAAATATCTGTTCATGCGGATTATTACTCTCCATTTAAGGTTGTGTCTTATGTCAGTCCTTAATTCATAGGGCTTTCAAGTTAGAAATGAAGCAGAAAAAAGCATCTGATAAGAAATATGTTTCTCTCAGTTACTATGAAATTTTGTTTGCTTCTCTCATTGCAGGTTTTGTGTGTATTTGTGTTGGATTGATTGTACTTTCCTGGTTATCAATCCAGGAGTTAGAACGAGGTAAGTAGCCAAACTTTAACCTTTCCAGGAGTTCTTCAGTAGACATTCAGACTTTGAAGTCAGTGGTGGTGTCATTGTGATTATTTTTCACATTTCATGCCATGCGGGTGGAGAAGAGGTTGGGGATATTTGTTTTTCTCCTCTTGTCCCCTGGAAATTGATGTGAACAAAATAGGCAAAAATATAAGCATCTGAATCATGTCTCGAAACCGTAGAAAAGAATTTTCATGGTTTAGGATTTGGGTGAGACCCCTGGAATGCAATCCAAGCTACAAAGGTTTGGTTATTCAGTTGTATTCATCAACTACAGAAGGTAATATGACAACCATTTATGACGTTTGACTCAGAAAGACAGTGATAATCCTCTGTGTTCTACATCTCTTGGAATCTTTTATTTTTATATAAAAAACCCCAATATTTTAAAGTCATCTATTGATGTGAGTGAGATCTTGCATTAGACAGTAAAGATAGTTACTCTTTATCCAGTGCTCAGAATGTGATAGAATCAAGCTACTAATACTCCAAGTAAACTATCTTTAAAAATTGTCGTGATTTTCAAATGGAATTGAAGTTTTGATTTTAAGATCTTGTGGATATATATTAACTGTATCCTGGTAAGGCCACATCTGGAGTACTGTGTCCAATTCTGGGCTCCTCAGCATATGAGAGATATGGAATTACTGGAGAGAGTCCAGTGAAGGACTGATCAAATCGTGGAGTTCTCCATCCTTGGAGATATACAAAAGCAGTCTGGGCATGGTCCTGGCCAACTGGCTGCGGGTGGCCTTGCTTGAGCAGCGGGGTTGGATCAAATGACCTACAAAGCTTTCTTCCAACCTCAACCCTTCTGTAATCTAGATTTTTAATTGGAAGGAAATGTATTTAAGTCTATGAAACTGTCACAGCTAATAGCAAAGTGATATTTTGAAACAATGTGAAGGAAATTTTTTTGTGCAGTCTTAACCAAAAGTCCATACTATTTCATACTGAAGAACATGAAGACTAAACTACTGTAAACAATATTAAAAAACCCCAACTTTTGTCAGAATATTCATGTTCATTCTTTCAGTTGCTATTGGTTTTCATTCCAGATTTTAAAATTTGTTCTCCCTGCTGACTTTCTTCCCCTCTTACCAGAATACTACCACATTCCAGTAAAATACAATGAGCTTAAAGGTAGTGATGATATATTGCCTACTTAGAACATGAATATGCAATAATTTAATGATGTACAAATAATAATTATAAAATGTTTAAAAAATATTTTTGACATATAGAAAAAAAGGTCTTTGCTATTTAGAAACATCTGTTTAAACAGATTTGCAATTGTTGTAAGGATAAAGGCCTTCAAAGAAGTTCAAAAAGTAGTCTGCTGTTACTAGTTGATAGCAGCAAATTGGTGTCACTAGGCTGTGCCTTCCATCACAAGCTGTTTATTACAGTATTTATTAGTTACCTGCCTTTGTCTTAAAAATTGTGAGAACCACTTGATGTTAATGCCTTCTAACACAACCTAAAAATACCAATGGTACTGTAACTGGTAACCAAAAGGCTTTTTTCTGTCAATCAACCAACCGCATTAATTCAGGTCTTATCTGAAAATTCCCAGTGTGTTACACAGTGAGGAAATATTTTTAATGTATAATGAATCACTTTATGTACACCTCATATGCTGCAACATAGTAAAAATCAAGATTAAATTTGCTGTAAGGATCAGTTATCTAGTTTCCTCATAAATCCTCCTAGCACTTCATGCAGGTATTGGTAAGAAATACCATGTCAAAAATTGTTTAACTATTCTGACACTAGTGTTTCCAGTGCTATCATTAAAATCAGCATACATTTATATAAAAAGGGCACAGCATTTAATACAGAAAGTGTGGAGTAGTTGTTCTTAGTATTTTTAATCCAAAACACACAAAATATTCATAATTAATTAAATATTATTCTTTCCATGTATTTTTGTTCCTTGTGTTAAACATAACTGGACATAATACTGTCCCCTTTAGCCATTCACAGTTCTTCTGGAAAATAGCATTTAAAACAGAATTGAAAGTAATGAGAACCAAGGACAAATAGTATTCATAAAAATATGTTTACAGTTGTAACTATTGTAAACATTGAAAAACTATCACTTTTTAAAAATCAGCTCTAGGCAAAACATCTCTGGCTACAAAGAAAACAGAAAGCTAAAACTTGTTGTCCTGGTGATCTTTGTAGAATAAAATCTAATGTAATGTATTTAATTAATTTCCGTGTAGTTCGAAACATTGAATTTTATTTTAATTATCTAGCTAAAGCAGATGGGAATACTCATGGCTACATGGGAACATTTAAAATACTCTCTGGGGCATCATTCACTCCTGCTTTGCAAAACAGATCATCAGCTGATTTCAAAGTCCTTGCCTTTGATGTTGAACAACTGGTAAGAACCTATTGGTCTTTGGTTAATTTGAAAGCATTTGTAGTACATTAATTTCCTAACATGACCTGCTGTTGATGGCTTTTTTCCCTCACTAAAATGAGATGTTTCAGGTCCTAAACCTTCAGACTTCAATATATTCCTTATTTGTGAAAATTAGTGAAGCATCAAAGAGGAAGTTTGCTTCTGTAGTCTATATTTGGGAAGGGAAAAATATTTAGTATTAAACCCACGAATGCAGTGTGCAATTGGGTGTATTTTTATTTCCTGTATTGGCTCAAGATTTCTCTTTTCCATATAGATACAAGAAGTTTTTCAAGCAAGTGATCTGAAAAATGAATTTGAGAGATGTGAAATTTCCCAGTTCAAGTAGGTATAGTTTGCAAATAAACGTCAAAGTCCTCACTTAGCTATTTGTCTCAGGAGTGCTTACCAATACCTTGTTTTTCATGAGATCTTTGGGAGCACCCTGTACTATTTCTTTCATGTCCTATGTCTTCCAAGTGCTGCTGTGGGAAGTTTAACACCGTTGTGTTTCCTTGAGCAAACTTCCTTCACAGACTCCTGTATGGCTGTGTCTTGACCAAACCAGTCAGGCTGTGCCCTAAGACCAACTCACAAAATTTCTATATTTTAGAGCTGGCAAATTTCCCTCCCTCTTCCCAAGACCTATTAGTTGTGCTATGTTTGCAGGATTGCTGGCCCTTGCCATCTAGTTCAGTTAGAGATCTGCTGACATAAGCTGAGATGAATGGAAATACACTCATATGTCCTTACGGACATATGTTCACTTATTTCCTTAGGGTGTTAGCAAGTGAGGCTGGCATCTGACACAGGTAAAGCTATACCCTGTATGTCCTACAGAGTCCATAAAATAGGTACGGTAAGATCTGCTTCATTTAATAAATCTTGTTTGACCTTGTTTTTCATCACCCTATTACATTGGTTGCCGTACTGAAGGTCAGCTGATAAAAAAGACCAGTATATGCAGTGACGTTTGTTCTTTACAAAGTCCTTATTAAGAACACTCGTAATACTGTCTTCCATTATCAAACAGTTTCAGAACATACTTCCATACTGTCTAGAACATTATAAACTCAAGGGGAATCATGTGGTACTGTGCTGTGTTTTGGTTTGTTTTTTTTATTTTTTACCTACC